AATCACCCTTTGTGTCTATTAGAGATACAGATCCGTTATGGAATTTGCATTTCTTTCATTGCCTTTCTGACAAAACAAAACGATCCTGATCCTATTTGAACCTAAAAACCCAAAGAAGTACCCTACAATTATTTTATAATTCTGTATAGAAGAAAAAAACAGAATAACTTATATGAAATTTGAATTGTATGATACACGTCACAGCACTGAAAATTCCTTCTGCCTGAGGTCATTGAACATACCTTTGTTGATTTACAAATAAAGCAATAGCAAAAAAAAAAAATTAAAGAACATTAAAGTATAGCTAAAAGTCAATATTTTGTATGTGATATCGATTCAGAGATTATGCTCAATGATTAATTCACTAGTTTTCGTGGTCCGCTTGACCAATTATTATCTTTCAATTAATTAAGGTTTTTAGTTGAGATAAAAAATTCAGTGTCACTAGCGGGATTCGAACCCACGACCTTCAGCTAGATACACCGCTGCTCTGCCACTTGAGCTATCGTGACTTCGATCCACTCGGACACTAACTTCCCATCTCAACCCCACCTTTTGAATTTTCCCTCCTTTTTGCCATTTTCAAATGTCGTATAATCTATTTGATTCTCGGCGGCAATGAAATGGCCACGGAGAGCTTTAGTAAAGGTATACTTCATTTTAACTTACTAAATTCACTAGTTTTCATGGTCCGCTTGACCAATTAATATCTTTCAATTAATTAAGGTTTTTAGTTGAGATAAAAAAGTCAGTGTCACGAGCGGGATTCGAACCCACGATCTTCGGCTAGATACGTGGGTTGAGATGTTCACACCGTAAACACTTTTTCCCCATTTGACATAAAATTTCTGTATTTTGGTTCGATGTGATTAAAAAAAAGCTGTATCACTAGAAAGCTTATTAAACGAAGTTGTATGAAATTTATTAAGCACTACCGTCAATTTTTCCAACGAAGGTGCAAATGTAATTTTTTACAAATTTTAAATTTAGCAGTTTTTGACAGATTTGGTGTTTGTTTGTTTTTTTGATAAAAAATTAACGTTGGCGCAATAAAGAAATTGTTTTTCTAAACCCACATCACACAAGACCGTATCTCACGACCTCCGAATAATAAAAAAATTAAATTGAAAATTCTAGAAGGGTAACGTCTTAAAGGAAATTTAAAGCTCTTTTCAATGTTTTTTTTTTTTTTTTGGATTTTAACAAAAATGTATAGTTCAGAAGGAACGAGAATAGATTTATGACGAAAAAGTAGATAGTTAAAAAAATTTTAATATGCGAACGGGAAGAGGATCAGACCATGGTTCTTACAAACTGTTTTACCACAGTCGAGATGTACAATTCAACGACAAAATTTGTGAGGCGACGTACTCGAATCCCACCATGCAAAACGCCATAATTAATTAATCGACAAAAACGGTAAAATATGTCGAATCAGGTAAATCAAAACGTTGATATGAATTAACCATAAAAACGTCAAAATATATTGAATCACATCTTAATAGATAAAAATGCTAAAGTATATCGAATCATATTAAACTAAACATCGACATGAACTAATCGACAAAAACGGGAACGTAAATTGAATCACATCAAGCGAAATATCGATATGAATTAATAGATAAAAATGCTAAAATATATCGAATCATATTAAACTAAACATCGATATGAACTAATCGATAAAAACGGGAACATATATTGAATCACATCAAGTGAAATATCGGTATGAATTAATAGATAAAAATGCTAAAGTATATCGAATCATATTAAACTAAACATCGATATGAACTAATCGATAAAAACGGGAACGTAAATTGAATCACATCAAGCGAAATATCGATATGAATTAATAGATAAAAATGCTAAAGTATATCGAATCATATTAAACTAAACATCGATATGAACTAATCGATAAAAACGGGAACATATATTGAATCACATCAAGCGAAATATCGGTATGAATTAATAGATAAAAATGCTAAAGTATATCGAATCATATCAAACTAAACATTGATATGAATTAATCGATAAAAACGTGAATGTTCAATACATGTATATTGCATCAAATCAAACCAAATATCGTTATGAATTAATGTATTAAAACAGGAGCATATATTGAATCATATAAAACTTAACATAAATATGAATTAATCGATAAAAACGGGAATATATATCGAATCATATCAAACTAAACATCGATATGAATTAATCGCTAAAAGAGGTAAAATATATTGAAACACGCGGAGGAAAACATCGAGATTTGAAAAAAATCGATATTTCCAAAAAGAACAAGCAGACATCCACTGAAAATGGTAAAATGCCAAACCATGGCCTAACCAATCGAGATAGGCATACTATGTCGGAAAAAGAGATGGCCGAATTATTTAGGGGATTGTTGGAATTTTTTTAACAGCTAGGACAGTTTTGTTTGATAAAATTTCATTTAGGAACACGGAAATGAGCAAATTTTTATGAAGATTGATGAAAATCCCCTTGGCCGATATTTTCATTAATGAGACGATAAGCCATAATTCGGTATAATCGGAAAATTTTCTCAGGCCCGGAAGCCCTCGACGGTAATAACAGAAGGCCCATATTTTCACAAATGCAATTTTTCAGCGAGATGGTTATCCCGGAGGGTGAGGTCGCTTAAGCCGAAACTGCGACTTAATGCGGCATAAATTTTGAGTAACGGCAGGCCACTACTCGTCCGAGGGGCGATTTTATTTTTAAAGAAAACCTTTGCCCCATAAAATCTCTTCAATATAAAGATAATGAGGTCCGCCCTCCTGTGGGCCTCGGCAAATCCGGAGCCCGTCCACCCGGCGGAATCCCGGTTCAAGAGTGGTAAAGGCTGGTATATTTCTTTGTGTCTAATGGCCATCGCGTTGTGGTTCCGAGCCAGCGGGCCAGAATGAGCAGATAAGAGCCCCGGTTTTCCAACCACGAGCCTTACGAAGATCAAAAACCTGTTTATTTACCTACGAACAAAACTTACTCCACAGTTTGACTTAACAAAAGCTGCCCTGCCATAGTGTTAAACCATTTTCCATACACTCGGTGAATACAGGGGGAAAAGTCTTCTGATAATTTTTTAATAGCACTAGCTCGTCTATTAACTACACAAACTATATTGGCACAAAAAATACACTAATATTTTTTAAAATAAGTTGACATCACAACAGAAGTATTTGTACTGTACGTGTAAATTTGTTACATTTACTTATTTTCCATCTTCTAATTCATAAATCGGTTTACCGACTACTTAATCAAGTAGTTAGTATTTAGTAAGTTAGCAGTTGGACAGCTATTTGAGTGATCTAATCAAGTTATCACTTAAAATTGGAATTAAATTTTTTTTCAATAAACTTATTAGAATAAATGACTTGTGACCTAGTTATAACTTAAAAACAAATGTTATATAATAATGTATATAGAAACCTACATATTGATTTATAAAGTTGGTTTGGAAAAGAAAGAAATTAATTTGAAAAAACGGTGAAAGTGGTATGCAAAAGTTTTATTTAATTTCCAAAATGGTGAAAAATATTGACAAAAAAGGGAATTTTAAAAAAAATTTCCTAAAGGGTGAAATTGAATGACAAATGTGTAAAATGGTAAAATTGAATGGCGAAAATGGTGAATGAAATTGATTTGCAAAGAGTGAAATTGATTGACAAAAGAAGGAATTTAATTGGAAAATACGAAGAAATTAATTTTCGAAAGTGAGAATCTCCAAAAGGGTGAGATTGATTGACAAAAGTAAATATTTAAATTAATTAACATTTTTATGTAAGGTTTTGGTTGTAATGGAAAAGTTATTGTCACGAGCGGGATTCGAACCCTTGACCTTCGTCTCAGTACGACGCTGCTCTAACCGTTTGAGTTATCGTGACTTCGATCGTAGGTTGAGATGGCGAGTTGGTGTCCGAGTAGATTCACGATAACTGAAATGGTTAAAGCAGCGGCGTATTGAGCCGAAGGTCGTGGGTTCGAATCCCGCTCGTGTCACTAACTTTTTTATTTCAACCAAAATCTTGCATAAAAATGTTAAATAATTGAAAGAAGGGTGAAGTTTATTGCAAAAAGGTTAAATTTAATTGCAAAAAGGAGAAATGGATTTTGCAAACGAAAAATTTAATTAGCCAACGGGTGAAATTAATTGGCAAACGGATGAATTCAATCTGCAAAACGGTGAATTTAATTTGAAAAGCTGTGCATTTAATTTTAAAAAAGGGTGAAATTTATTAACAAAAGGAGAAATTTAATTTGAAAAAGGGTGAAATTGAATGATAAAATAGTGAATTTAATTTACAAAATGGTAAATTTAATTGGCGAAATGGAGACTTTGATTTGGAAATGGGTGAAATTGTTTAAGAAAAGTATGAATTTATTTTCAAAACGCTAAAATTGATGTATAAAATGTAGAATTTAATTCCCAAAAGTGTGCAATTGATTGATAAAAGGAAGAATTTGATTTTCAAAATGTTGCATTTGATTTGCCGAATGATGAAATAGATTAACAAAAGGGTAAATTCAATTTGGAAAACGGTGAAATCGATTTGCAAAGAATAGAATTTAGTTTCCAAAAGTGTGAAATTGATTAACAAAAGGAGAAATTTGATCTGCCGAATGGTGAAATCGGTTAACAAGTTGAACTTATTTCGCAAAATTGTGAAATTGAATGACAAAAGACAGAATTTAATTTTACAAATTGGTGATCTTAATTTGCAAGATGGTGAAATTGATTAACAAAAGCCAATTTAATTTTACAAAATGGTGAATTAATTTGCAAAATGGTGATATTGATTGGCAAGAGTGAATTTAATTTTTACAAAAAGGCCAATTCAATTTACAAAACGGTGATTTTTAATTTGAAAAAGGGGCAATATAACTTGTCATAATACATCACTTAAATAAAACGGGACTTTATTGACTTATACTTTATTGATTACGATAACGTTATCACCAGTCTCGGTTTGAGTTCCCGCCATCGAGGATAACCACAGAAAAGGTTACAATCTTTCAAGGTGGCACGTGACGGCTGTGTTTATTTGTGAATTCGGGCCTTCGCTGCTCGAAAACCAGTCCGAGGCGGTCACTTGGACGAAACGGACCCCGGCTCAGACATGCCACAAGGAGGATCCTTCAAAGGGAAAAAGGAGAAGAAGAAGAAGGAAAAGCCATTACAGAAAAAGAGTAAGTCAAAATACAAATTTCCTTGTGTTTTCTCAAGAGAAGATTAAGAAGTTCAAAATTGTGTGTTAAATTAGAAATAGAATTATGTTGATACCACTTTTATTCAAGGCTTTATCGTTTCTGAGTCTAAAAATAGAAGTTTTATATCTGGACCTTATAACTTATACACACAGTCGGCCCTGTCCTACTCTAGAAAACAAGGTTGAAATAAACATACAAAATTCCCTACCTAATGGATTATTATCAGAAAACTCAACAAATAACGCAGAAGAAACAACATATTACACTCCAGCCATTGTTTAAAAAAATTGTATTTTCCTTAGAAGTTCTTTATGTGTTAACTCTCCAGGGTTTCAATACTATATATTTTAATGCACACTAAAGTTTTAACAACCATATCTCAGTCCGTTTGGTCGTTATGTTTTCTTTAGGTCACCGTTTATCATGATGACGTTTCTGGTATTTGTGTGATACCATTGTAGTCTGCCAACATTGAGTACGTTTCTAAATCCTTACGGTAAAGGACAGTATAATCTGTTGGTACAACGATGGTTCAAAGATACAGGTAGGTTCAGAGGCATGAGTATTTGTCCCAAAATTGAGTATTCAGAATCTATGAGCATGTACACGCTTTAAGCTATAGATCTACTCAATTCAGTTTGAGCAGATGATACAAAAGTATCATGTATGATGGCCAAGCAGTGAAAATAATCAGTACTTTTGTTATCACCGATCATTGTGGTCGGCCAATTCTCAGTGGTAGATGGTATGGTACGGTAGAAAAAGTCCTAGGAAGCGAGGTTTGTACTCCCCAGGCACTGCAGCCTTCAGTCTTATTGTACCTTCCTAGTTCCTTAGTTCTGTCAATAGACTCAATCCTTCTTCTTAGAAGTATCAGGTCATTGACTGTCGCTGCTGCAATTTGATTCCCTAAGTGTTTTCCGTACGTTAGGTTAAATCTCCATTGAGCATTAGCCCTCTCCAGGTGCAGTAGTGATTTTGCCAGTCTTGGTGAGGGTTGTCTCATCATAAGTTTACTATGTCTAGCACCGCTAGAGTTTATACACTTTTCCTTTTGTTTTGTTTGGATCCATTCTGCGATGGAGGATTCTATATTTGTTTTTGTTATCCCAAGAATAGGTTCGGGGTCTATGTCCTGGGATGAGATCCTCCTCTTTCCAGTCTGTCTGCTTTCTCATTACCCAAAATTCCCCTGTGCCTTGGCACCCAAGATATCATCAGGTTGTTGAGTTTCCCCAGGTTTTGGAGATTTTGGGTGCATTCACTGACTAATTTTGATGTGATTCTTTTACATGCTAATACTTTAATGGCTGTTTGGCTATCAGATCTTATGAGGATTTTTTTTGCCAGTGTAACCTCTTTTAAGATTTTCCAGGGCACAAGCATTGATGACATGTATTTCTGCTTGAAAGACCGAAGTGTACTTCCCTAATGAGTTTGATTGCTCATGTTTTGGGCTTGTACAGAAAACGCCCGATCCGGTTCCTTCGTTTGTTTTGGAGCCATCTGTATACCGTATCATTGTATCTGATGCTCTCCTGTGTTCTTCCTCTCCTTTATAGTCCGTTGAGACTTTGTAGGATGTTGTGGAGAATGTTTTCGGGATCAAACAGTCCTCCATCATTTCTAATAATGGGTGTCTGATTTTGTTGATTGTGGTTGTATGCCCGAATTGTTTAGTTCCTTTCCAATTTAATTGTTTCTGGAGCCTAAGTGAGCTTTTCCTAGCCTCTCCTTGTATGAATATTTCCAGTGGAGGTAGGTTTAGCAAAGTTTCTAATGCATTTGTAGGGGTTGTTCTCATTGCCCCGGTGATACATAGGTTTGCTAGTCTTTGTATGCTGCTCAGTGGTAGATGATGGGTTTTGGTCTGCGAGTCTGTGAACTCATGTTCAACCGGCACATGGCCACTTCCTGGGTCTCCACTCTCAGGTTTTTTGTTTGAGTTATTCAAACGCGTTTCAGCATTGCACCTTCTTCAGTGAGGAACTGTCGACAGTTCAAAACACGTTTGAATAACTCATACAAAACAAACAAAAAATCGCGAATGGAGAAAGATCTAGTAAGTGGCCGTGTGCCGGTTCAACATGAATTCTCAGTGGCTTGGTCTGCAGATGTGTTTTGAGAATTGGCCATTTTTAGTGTTGGATCTGGGTGATTTCGATTACCCAAATAATAAGCAAATTAGAAATAATGTCAAAATAAAAATTGGGTTCTGAATAACTTTAGTCACTTACCATGAAGAGTTTTTTGACGAGAAAAATTCCGCACACATTTTTCACTTATTCAACTTCATTAAAACACCTTTTATGGAGGAAGTAAGCTATTGACTTGAATAGGAGGTCTGTCTTATATCTGTCCATATACTGGGCGAGAAAGAAAATCAAATTCCAACTTATTTTTGAGTTGGTAGTCTTGGAGTTGTCTGGTCTTGTTATTATCTGATGCAATAGAACTTGTTTTTTATTTACCACTGCTGGATAATGAACTAGTGCTGAGTATCCTCAACCAAGTTGGTTAGAGATGGAACCCCCAAATTACAGGTTCATATCGCACAGACACCACGATGAAATCACACAAAGTTCTAATAAACAATAGTCAATTATTTTGTGAGCTAAACATATTTTGAAAATTTTCTCATGCTTAACTTCTCAGTTAGGTTTCTAGTAAGATCTAGCCAAGATGTAATGTATTAGGGAGAAAGAGATTAAATTAGACATTTTTATTGTTGTCATAAAATTCATATAGTATCAAGTTTTCTTACAGCTTTATTATTACTAATGTGCAATTTGTTTCCACAGACAGGCCAATTGCTCCAAAAAAGGCCAAGTTTGAGGAGGTCAAGAAGCTGAAGAAGATAATCACAAAGAACGTCAACCGTTCCCTAGAGGAGCAGATAAGGGCCATCGCAACCGACGGGCAGAAAGTGCACTTGTCTAAAAAGAAAGACAAAACCGACGTGGATCCAAACAAAATGCCGCCCAAAAACGCATAAATAGTACATTCCTCTACTAATGATTATGTATTGGAAAAGTTTTATTTGTAAGTGAAAATATTATTTTTGTACATTGTCAATTACATACTCTTGTTCAAAATCTTATGTAATTTATATTCAAAATTGGTTTTAGATACATAAATGTTCATAGTTTTTAGTCACATGGCTAAAATAAACAGAAAAAGTACATCCTTAGTAAGAAAGACTTACCAAGGCTCCCTGAACTACACCACTGTAAAACAATTGAATTACCTGCATTAATATAATTCCTTTGTCTCTATATCTTTTTGCTTATAAAGTCGCTAGAAGTCCCAATGAGGTGATGGAGGGTCATTTCCAGGTTTTTTTTTTTTTTTTTTTTTTTTTTTTTTTTTAATATAAAATTAACTTTTCAGTACATGTTATCTTTTAAACAATACATGTCCGCAAATTATCCTTTATCCTACACCTGGGTCAGCAGCAAGGAGTCCAAAATGCTATTTAAGAAAGACAATATAAATTCCTTAATCTGATCTTTAATGAGAAGGTGGGATTAGTAATATAGGAGGTTTTAATATTGAAAGTCTGAACTCTACATATTAGTCAATTAATTAAGGTTTTTAGTTGAGATAAAAAAGTCAGTGTCACGAGCGGGATTCGAAACCACGACCTTCGCTTGATACACCGCTACTCAACCACTTGAGCTATCATGACTTCAATCCACTCGGACACTAACTTCCCACCTTTTGAATTTTCCCTCCTTTTTCCATTTTTCAAATGTCGTGTAATCTATTTGATTCTTGGCGACAAATGAAATGGCCACGGAGAGCTTTAGTAATGGTATACTCATTTTAACTTACTAAATTCACTAGTTTTCGTAGTTCGCTTGACTAATTAAATTCTTTCAATTAATTAAGGTTTTTAGTTGAGAAAAAAAGTCAGTGTCACGAGCGTGATTCGAACCCATGACCTTCGGCTTGATACGCCACTACTCTACCACTTGAGCTATCGTGACTTCGATCCACTCAACTAAACACCTTAATTAATTGAATGATATTAATTGGTCAAGCGGACCATGAAAAATAGTGAATCTACATATTAGGTAATGTAAAGGTCAGGAAGAGAGTGCCTTGAACAAGTAATACAATTTTTTTTAATAAACCGACAATTATATGAAAGTAAATCTCTGCAAGGTGCTCATTCAGCTTGTCTGCAAATCCAATTCAGAAATCAGTTGTTTAATTTGAAATAACTCTTGTGAACATATAAACATACTAGAGAGGGAAAAATATGATATGCAGATTTATCCAATTTATTCCATATCCAGGATGTTAAAGTGATTAAGGTGTGTAGACTGTTTTTGGACAGGCGAGGAATATCTAATTTACCTCAAAAGGGATGAATTTGGTAAGTGAGGTCTCAACAGAATAAAGCTCAAAAATGAAAAGCTGCTGTGTTAAACAGGGCTAACAAACGGTAGCAACCCAATGATTTCAAAGCTAAACAATTAAGTTTTGATACCTGAATTTATCATATATCTTATGATTTGGCTGGGTGAGGCTTGTATTATAATGGTAATGTAGCGTAGAGCTCGATATTGTGTGAATTGAGTGCAGCTTGTGCAAGAAAATAATGGTGAGTAGGGCATAGTGTCTGTAACCTTAGCATGGCATATGTCCAACCTTTTTATGAATATACAACTTAAGTATGATGTGTGCATCCTGAGTATAGCTTGTGTCCATCAGTGAGAGGCCAGAGGCCTCCTAGGAGGTCTTGTAATTCTATTTCTATTTCTACAACAATTAAATTTAACAATTAATTAAGAGTAGCGGCGTATCAAGCTGAAGATCGTGGGTTTGTATCCCGCTCGTGCCATTGACTTTTTATCTCAACTAAAAACCTTAATTAATTGTAATATATTAATTGGTCAAACGGACCACGAAATTAGGGAATTAAATTTAACTAACAATTTATTACATAGTTTTGCTCATAATAATGCATTAAGAGCAAAAGAGGCAGTGGATTGTGCTACACACTGTGCGACTGTTTAATGTTGAACAGATGTGCACACCCCAAAAAAATGAGACAAAGGTCAGGTCACTTCGCGTTGCGTTGTGTCAGGTATGTTCCCTGCTTAAAATTTGTCTGTATCTGACCTGAATAAGACTTCTGTGTAACTAAGTAATGCCTGTGTACAACTTCAGTAAGGCTGATTTGGTTTGTATGAATCCTGAGTATGGCTTGTGTGTCCACTCTATCTGCCAGGTTCAATTTGCAGTAGAATTAAGTAATTTAATTATATCTACCAATAAATAATGCACATATACATTTATAAAATTCTTTCTTGAATTAACTTTTTTCTCTTATTTTTTGCCCTCCCCCTCCTTAGAAATTATTTTGTATGAACCGTTGTGTCGAGCATTGCCGAGTAATGCAACTGCTCTTAACTAGTTTTGTTAATTCAGATACAATGTGATTGAATAAACTTTAAAATTTTAATTGTTTTTACAACCGAAAAACAACATCTGCACAAGCAGAAGAATATGTAGCAATGCTATGGCTGAATAATACAAGTAAAGGGACAACCCTCTGAAAGAGAAACTGTTCTCCGTTACGTTGACTTCCTTCACCTTCGGTTTGCTCCTCCTGCACATTTGCAAATAGTAAAATTAACCAGGGCCAAATAGCAGAGCGGTTAGAGTACATACCACTCAGTCTCTTTGTACCTGTTGTAGAGTTTGACGTCACCTTCGAATGTCCTCTTGACAGACATGTACGAATTGTCTTTTTTAGTGCTATCTAAAAAATACATTGGGCTCAAATTTTTTTTTCTATTTGCTATTTTTTTTTTAAACTAAATTTTATAGCCAGGTGTTAACTTTATTATTTTAACTATTTACTTGAAAATTGAAAGCCTTTTTTAAATTATACGACCTTGTGGATTGGAAGGTGTTGGTAGATTTTGGGACGTTTTTGCTGTACGGCAAGAAAGGGAAAGCGATGAAAGATTTCTATTTTTGTTTTTCTAGTTTGAGAATGACAAGTTTATAAATAGTTTCTCTTTAAAAATACAAAAAAAAAACCTTGTAACTCTGCATTGATGATATTAAACCTCTTGAAATGTCAAGGCCTTATTGCAAAAGAAAAATCCCTTTTAGTCGAGAAATAACAAATTATATTTCAATAATTAGCACAAATTTATAACCTATTAATAATTATTTACATAAATAATGTGTCAAAGCTGTATTTCTAAATCAAAATGGTAAATTAGGAAGTGTTATATACACAGATAATATATACAAAACATTTTGTACATTCCTTTCAAAGGAAAACTACCTATGGCACCATTGACTTTATGATATTCCATCACAAAATGGTTGTTGAAAATGTATAGATTATTTTTACGTTTATAACTATCTAATAGTTGAGAGTTATTAATCTAAGTCTGATAAGCATAAAATTTATTTGTGTGAATTGTTGGTATTGTGCTGGATGTTCAACCGACGACAATTAACTGGCCGCTCTTTCCTTTCGATATCCCAGGCCCGTTTGAACCGAGTGTCAAATCTATTGTTAGCTGTTTTCCGTCTGTTAAATTATGAGCGATCCTGGAAAATTATATTAGTATAATAAAAAAAAATTAATTAATTTTAATTACTTACTTTCCGTCCTTGATACTATTGATGTTTAGTATTTCTTTATTTTTCATTATATGAACAATTTTTGTTATGACCTCGATCAAGTTGGGCACTTCGAGTATGATGTCGCCCTAAATAAAACAATTATTTATTTTTGCAATATATAAAATGTAATTCAACAAATAGGCTCACTTTATCTTTGGTTAAGTGTGGTGGTATCCGTATTAGAAGGAAGCTGTCTCTTTCAGAAGTGACTTCGAGCTTACTTATTGACTGCAGTGGAATTTTGTGCTTGATCTTAAACTGCTTTTCGCCCTCCATAACCAGATAAATATGCTTATCTGAGACAAAAAGCAATCGGTTTCTTCTTCTATAACCATGTCTGTCGAATTTAACCACATTGCAGCCATACTGAAAAGACAATATCATAAATTATCCTGTTTTATGAAAAAGTAAAGAAAGGATCGAAATTTACCTGGATCGTGTCTCCAAGTATGCTTTCTGATGCAAAAAATGGTTTTTTGATCGAATTCTGCACATCGGTGAGCCTGTTGTCGACAAAAGGAATTGGAAGACTATGTTCGTAACTTTTCTTCTGGTCTGAAAGAATAAAATTTAATGCTTTTAACATCAGCCCTGTAAACATTTAAATATGTTTATTCTAGCCGATTTATCTTTCATTGAACCTCATGAAAACAAGTCGTTTGACTGAATCATAAACCACCAAGAGACAGACCCAGTAAAGTGATCAGTGTTGATCATGTATAAACCTAAATGTTTTATTATGATTAATTTCCTAGTTTTTGTGGTCCGCTTGACCAATTAATATTTTTCAATTAACTAAGGTTTTTAGTTGAGATCAAAAAGTCAGTGTCACGAGCGGGATTCGAACCCACGATCTTCGGCTAGATATGCCGCTGCTCTACCACTTGAGCTATCGTGACCTCGATCCACTCAGACACTAACTTCCCATCTCAACCCCACCATTTTATGACATTTTATTTCAACTAAAAACCATAGTTAATTGAAAAAGATTATGATTAAGGTCTATGTAGTTGGTCATTATCAGTCAGCCAAAATTGGTCAAGCGGACCACAAAAACTAGTGAATTTAATAAGTTAAAATGAAGTATACCTTCACTAAAGCTCTCCGTAGCCATTTCATTTGTCACCGAGAATCAAATAGATTACACGACATTTGAAAAATGGGCAAAAGGAGGGAAAATTCAAAGGTTGGGTTGAGAAGGGAAGTTAGTGTTCGAGTGGATCGAAGTCATGATAGCTCAAGTGGAAGAGTAGCGGCGTATCAAGCCGAAGGTCATGGGTTCGAATCCTGCTCGTGACATTGACTATTTTATCTCAACTAAAAACCTTAGTTAATTGAAAAAAAATTACGATTAATGTCTATGTAGTTGGCCATTATCAATCAGCCAGACAAAAAAACTCAAAAATGAGACTCAATTGACATAATAACACATGAATGACCAACTAATACTAATTTTAATAAGTTAAAATGAAGTATATTTCACTAAAGCTCTCCATGGCCATTTCATTTGACGACGAGAATCAAATAGATTACACGACATTTGAAAAATGGCAAAAAAGGAGGGAAAATTCAAAAGGTGGGGTTGAGATGGGAAGTGTCCGAGTGGATCGAAGTCACAATAGCTCAAGTGGTAGAGTAGCGGCGTATCAAGCCGAAGGTCGTGGGTTCGAATCCCGCTCGTGACACTGACTTTTTTATCTCAACTTAAAACCTTAATTAATTGAATGTTATTAATTGGTCAAGCGGATCTCGAAAAATGGTGAATTTAATGAATTGAAATGAAGTACACTTCACTAAAGCTCTCCGTGGACATTTCATTTGTCGTCGAGAATCCAATCCGATTACACGACATTTGAAAAATGGCAAAAAGGAGGGAAAATTCAAAAGGTGTGGTTGAGATGGAAAGTTGGTGCCCGAGAGGATCGAAGTCGCGATAGCTCAAGTGGTAGAGTAGCGACGTATCTAGCCGAAGGACGCGGGTTCGAATCCCGCTCGTGACACTGACTTTTTTATCTCAACTAAAAACCTTAATTACTTTAAAATAAAGTTCAAATTTTTCAAATTACCTTTGAATAATGCCTCAGCAAGGACTTTGAGGTCCAACTGCAGTTTTCTCTCTGGAGTCAATGATAATCTGTATTTCATTGCCAGCCATCTTTTATGCATTGGTCTTAGAAGTTCTGAAGCCTGTAAAGCCAAATTATTTCTACTTGATTCAACGTATTTTTATTATTTAACCTACCGCTTGGCAGACTCTAGGAGCTTTGGGCCAAGAGTCGTCTAATACGCTTTTAGGAAGGGACTTCGAAAGCCTCAGGAGATAATGGAATTTTGTCGTCTGTATGAACCTTTTGTTAAGGTCCGAAACTGGACCGTATCTTGTTATAAATCCTTCGATAAAACTGAAAATAAAGTTTTATAATAAAGTATCACATTTAAGTATTTAAATGAGTAACTTACTTTCTGATTATTTTCACTGCATGTCTTCTCCTGCTCGCCTTCCTCTGAGCGAGGTACCTCCTCGTCCATTTCTCGACCATTATAGCGGCCTCTTTCATTTTTTTGTATTTCTTACGCTGGATATAGCCTCGCCAATGGCTTTGGATTATAGTGGCCAAATCGTTCTTTTTCAATTGGAACGCGTCTTCAATTTCAAATAATGATTTTTCAGAGCGAATAAAAACTTTCGTCCTGAAAATTTATCAATTTATTTGAAAGAAAATTTACAATGTGGATTAAACTTACGTCCCGAGTCTGTACTCTTCGATGGTGTAGCCTCTGTGAAGCAGAAGTATTTCGACGCCTTGTTTCGCAGGACCGTCGTATTTCGGCCAAGTCTGAGGGCAGAGGCTTTTGTACCTTTTCAGGAACTCGTTATAATGCCTTCTATAAGCGAAGCCCGCTCTCCTTACTCTCAAGTTCTCCATAAGACCAAGGTACTTAACCTGATGGCCTACTATGTCTCCAGAAAACATTCCTAAAAATTATTCGAATGAAGCATTAAGCGCGCATTCCGTTTTGGTAAAGTTAATATCAACTAATGAACATTGTCTACAAATATCTTCTATCTAATTTAAAACAAGTCAAATCGAGTAAAGAACCTTTATCAAAGGTACAAAGTTCGTTTGTCTGTATAAACAAAACAGTTTTTACAAGGATTACGGTGTTACATATCCACAATCCGGCAAACGATGGAAAATTACCTGGCTTCTTAAAATCATTCGGCTTAATGCATCTGATATAACTTGGCTGTTTACTCATTAACGTATTCATCAACTCATTTAAACTTGACTTAAATTGCGTTATTGCTGTATCCGGTCTCTTTTTACTTAACAGTTCCGATTTTGGAAACACAGTCTGAAAAATTTAGATCTTATAAAAAAACTAATGTTTGGAAGTGAACAATGCTGTTTCATAAATGTATTTAATGTCACCTTAACAATTGAATTTGTTGTGTTTGACATGACTTCCCTCAAATCGCGGAAGAGGAGATCATTGTTTTTATCTAAAAATCCTTGCACATCGTAAATCACTTCTCCTGCATAGTGGACGAGAGTGAATTCCTGAAAAGTCAATTCATATTTTAAAAAGGTTTTTTTTTTATGACTTAATGACAAATAATCACCTCTCTCTTCATTCTTTTCTTCAACTGGCTATCAGCCTTTTTGTGGCTGATGAAATGATCGTGCGAGCTAAGTTGATGGCACATTTTATCGAGAAAAGTCAGATCCGATGTTTCCCCAGGACGAAGACATTCCTCATCAAGAAGCGAAATTATTCCTGTATTTAAAAAATTGTAAAAAGAGCCAGATGCGTAATTATATTTGTTTAACCTTTATATTTTTCTTCTATTAAGTTTATGATGATGTTGTTGTTGAAGTACTCGACTGGCTCCCATTCGATGCCCTCTTTGTGATATTCTTCTTGTTCAGACTTTAAAGTCAGTTCGATGAAGAGTTGTTGCAGCTTTTCATTACAGTAATTTATGCAAAATTGTTCGAAACTGTAATTAGGCTGTATTAGAAGATCTTGGAAGGGATTTTTCCATTTAAAATGAAATACCTGTTACGTTGGAAAATTTCAAATCCGTAAATATCTAAAATACCCATTAGATTGGGCGTTGTCGTCGGTTTGGATGGTTGCAGGGCTTCATTGAAACGCATAACCATCCAAGAGAAAAGCCTGTCGTAAATTGCTTTTGCAAGTGCGTCCCTGGCGTAGACGGCAGTCTCCCTGTCTAAAGGAGAAGTCACACTTTCACCCTTGGCTAGGATCGTCTTTTGTGTCAGCGCTTCTTTCAGCTTGTCTTCCGGGCAGCCTAAGAGCTTTACAATAAAATGTTATTTTGGGTGTTTTTATACGTCGGGAAAATTTATCACCTTGGCAGTGCAGGAAATATGGTAAGAATTGTTGAGGAACGCCTTGCCCTGATCGTCTCCGACTCCGATATTGCCTAAGTGCAACACGCTTGCCACGATCGCCATTATTTCTTCCTGTTCTTCAGGAGTGAGACCCAGTGTGTGCATCGCTTGCCAAACGGCACTCATCTGTTTTGCATCGTTCATCCCTTCTATGGTGTCTTTCTCCTAAACAATCTAATTAAAACACTAACTCTATTTTAAATCAACGGAAAACTTACAGAATTGGAAATGTAATTGTAATAACCGGGCAGTCTTTTGAGGTAAAGTTTTTCAAGAAGGTCATCATCGGCACCGGCGAGAAGTTGGTAAAAGATGTGAAAATTCCTCTCACCCCTATTTTGATCCACTACCCTAGACTTCTCTAAAAGATAATTAATTATATTCCCACCAACTGGATCTCCCTGCAAATAAAAATTTTTATAAATTAACTTTTGATATGAATATTAATTTATAAAATTAGTGTGTGGTGGTTAGTGACCGTTAATCGATAATTATTCAGAAATCGTGAGATGCGGTCTGGTGTGATGTAGGTTTCAGAAAAACATTTTCTTTATCGTGTCAACGTTTCGATCTTTATTGAGATCATCTTCAGGGCCTGGGATTTACAAACATTGTTTACATTTAACAAATACATGTAGGACATAGAAAAAAGTGAATTTATACAATGCAAAATATATTTTTTATATTCAATCAAAGTATTTCTACTCATTGAAAGTGTTTGTCTTCTGTGTAATTGTGCCATTCTTGCGTGTCGTGTTGAGAGTGCCAGTGAGTTATTGCTGTTACTGTTGCCCAGGCCTGAAGATGATCTCAATAAAGATCGAAACAATTAATTAAGGTTTTTAGTTGAGATAAAAAAGTCAATGGCACGAGCGGGATTCGAACCCACGATCTTCGGCTAGATACGCCGCTGCTCTACCACTTGAGCTATCGTGACCTCGATCCACTCGGACACCAACTTCCCATCTCAACTGCACCTTTTGAATTCTCTCTCCTTTTTGCCATTTTTCAAATGTCGTCAGAATCCGATTACACTACATTTGAAAAATGGCAAAAAGGAGAAAAAATTCAAAAGCTGCGGTTGAGATGGGAAGTTGGTGTCCGAGTGGATCGAGGTCACGATAGCTCAAGTGGTAGAGCAGCGGCGTATCTAGCCGAAGATCGTGGGTTCGAATCCCACTCGTGACACTGACTTTTTTATCTCAACTAAAAACCTTAATTAATTGTAATATAGTAATTGGTCAAGCGGATCACGAAATTACTGAATTAAAGATCGAAACGTTGGCACGATAAAGAAAATGTTTTTCTGAAACCTACATCACACCAGACCGCATCTCACGATTTCTGAATAATTATAAAACTGGTGTTTTCTTTTTAAATTTTCTATTTACAATGGAGATGAAACACAAGCAAATTAAAATTTATTCTTTTTTTTATATCAAACAGTTTTAACTAGCGTAAGAAGAGACTTTTCAGACAATACCAACCATTTCGTTAAATTCGATGTCCATGTACTTTCCAAATCTGCTTGAGTTGTCATTTCTCGTCGTTTTTGCATTTCCGAACGCTTCCAAAATTGGATTTGAATAGAGAAGTTTGTCTTTCACAGATTGCACTTGCCCGTTGTGGTTCGAGACTGCCGCTATGTACTCTAGGACTTTCTTGCTCGCTTCCGTTTTGCCAGAGCCAGATTCGCCTGTCAGTCAAAAATTTATTAAACGAGATTCTTCACACTGAAAATAATTTTATTACCAGAAATCAGTATGCATTGGTCAATATGCTCTTCAATAAGTGACCTATAGGCTGCTTCTGTAGTAGCAAATCTGTAAAAAAAATTTGTTTAGGCAAATATTTTTGATGGTATTATTGATTTAAATAATTACACGTGAGGGGGGTTTTCAATCAGGTGGCTGTTCTGGTACTCGCCGACAGTTTCATGGCCATAGATTGGCAAATTTTTATACGGATTGACTGACACAAGTACTTGCCCGATGTACGTCTAGATTGGAAAAAAAGTTATAAGTTCTAGTTGAGTTAATTTTCAAAATAATTTTAAAATATGCCTCACATAGATTATATTTTCCTTGAATCTCTTTCGAAGGTTCTCAAGGAATGCAAGCTCGCTCCTAAAATCCTCCAAAAGCACCGAGTCCTGGACTCCTACCCTGTCTCTTTCGTGAAGACTCTTCTCCATTCCTTTAAAAATACAAAATCAACATTAATTAAAAAATAAATAAATAAAATAAACTATAAAATGAACGTTGTGTTGTCTTATCAGTAAAACATAAATTATTTATACACTGGCATTACTGTTAGAAGTTAGTAATATTTTATTATTCACAATTTGAACTGTGCAAAAATAGATTTGTACTCTTCCTTGTCTCATATCCCAAGAAATAAAATTTAATTGGATAGATTAAGAATCTCATAAATAAACAAGATTAAGAAAATGCATGTAAAAGTGAATGAATTGTTAGATTTTCATCATCAATCATCAACGATCAACTTGCTTCTTCAATGGAAAAATGCCAAAAAGCATCTGGCAGACCAATACCAGAATAGAAAGGCTAACATGATTGAGACAACCAATTTACATTTTCAACATGTACATAATAGTTACAAGGTTTTTTATTTATGGCAACATTTTTATTTATATATGATATACGGTCGGGTGGTCTGTTGCTAAAAATGCAATGAAAGAACCACTAAAAGAAGTGACAGCACCAGTTGGTCAGATTGAGAGAGAAGTTCTCACGTATCAAGAGCACTATCGATAAGAAGTGACCCTTGGAGGATCTGATCTCACTCGTTTAAGAATAGGCCAGGTGAGCTTACATTGACCGTTACTTTTGAGCCAAAGATTGTGTATGTGGCCAGCATGTGGAGAAAAGTTGTTTCATGTCTCCAACTTGATTGAAGGGCTTCATATAGGGAGCATGTAAGTGACCACCGAATATGAAAGTTGTGCTTGAGTATAGAAGTGAATATTTGGGCCCCCTGTTCTGATTTTTGAATTTTTCTGTCCCCTAGTGTAAATTTATTTATGTGTAGTGTGAGTGGGCCAATGGCAGAATATTAAGTACCCAATCGATCTGCGATTAGTTTAGTTATATAATATGTGTGGAGGGTATTGAAGGAATATCAAGTACTCCATATAAGAATGTATTTAAGGATGAGTGAGAATGTGAGTGGGTTTGAATCTAGAAGCTGATTGTGCTGGGGGCTGAAATGACCTAGTTGTTGATAGCCCTTGGAGCTCCATCCCAGTGGCTGGACATATAAGACCAAGGTCTGATCTTAGAATGCCTACATTTGGGGTGGATGGTTCACGAATTCTTCTCTTAATTATAAAAGCTGGAATTGCAAGCTCTGCAAGAAGTGTTAGGCTGTATGAACATGCATGTGCAGAACTGTGCGTAAAAGAGTAATCAATATACGTGATATACATGTATAAACTCATTATCTCACTCCAAAGTACGTCATTTTGTAAATATTTGAAAATATTAATTTCCGTAGTGTGTTTGTATAATTTATAAATTTGCTGTTTGTCATTGTTTTCTGTCGTTTGTTTGTAATAGTTGCTGAAATTTGTCGTAGTTTTCTGACGTCTGTTTTTGTACTTTATTAAATGTACTGTGTTTGGAGTTGTTTTGGGTCGTCTGTTTGCACAATTCATGAAATGTGCTGTTTATGGTTGGTTTTGTCATTTGAACAATTTATGAAATTTGCGGTGTTTGGGGGTTGTCTGTTTGTATAATTTATTATTTGCTTGTCCTTGGTTGTTTTCTTTAGTTTGTATAGTTGATGAAATTTGCGGTGTGTGTCGTAGTTTTCTGTCGTCTGTTTTTATACTTTATTAAATTTACTGTGTTTGGAGTTGTTTTGTGTCGCTTGTTTGTATAATCTATGAAATAATCTGTTGTGATTGGCTTTGTCATCTGAACAATTTGTGACATTTGCGGTGTTTGGAGGTCGTCTGTTTAAATAATTTATGAAATTGCTTGGTTTCTGTTTTTTTTCTTTTATAATTTATGAAATATGCTGGGATTGAGGTTGTTTTCTATCGTTTGTTTGTATAATTGATGAAATTTGCTGTCTGTGGTCGTTTACTGTCGCCTTTTTTGTAATTTATGAAATGTGCAGGGTTTGTGGTTGTTTTCTATCTTCTGTTTGTACAATTGACGAAATTTTCCGAGTTTGTGGTCGTCTGTTTGTAATTTATTTAACAGGTAAGTTATTTACAATTAAAATTTCAAATATAATTATTAGTGCAATAGTTTTATTTTTGATATTCGATGGTCTATGTTTATTACATAAAAACGATATAGGGCTAATAACTGGCATCGTGGTAAACTGTGTTTGGTGCATGAGTTCGTTTGTTGTGGTGAGTTACATGTCAAATATCTCCTCGAAATGTCAAGGTTTGCAAACAGTGGGCGTCTTAAAATTGTAAGCCGCATTGAAAAAGGAAGTGCGAGGTTTTTAACTCGGCTTCTTTTGAATCTTTAAACTGAAGGCCGATCAGCAAGATTATACATTTTTCTATATATATTTTCCTTTCTTCACGTTTCAAATATTTTTGTCATTTTAACCGGAAAATATCCAATTTTCGATTCTTTTACGTTTGAATTTTTTTTTCTCTCTTCAGGGGATGAACAATAAAAAACTAATCATGGCGAAGAGAAGAGCGACACGTGCCGGACCCAGGGGTAAATCCGTCTTAGAAGATTCACAACGAAGACGTCAACCTTCACAAACTCAATTTTCGAGTTGTAATAAAACTGAATATAATTCACAATTGTATGGGAAAAGGTATCAGTAAAGTCTAATGTAAAAACCGGCCACCAAGTTCCCTCGGGGGTCCGTAACACGTCGCTTTATCACCGGAGGGAAAGGCGTGTCTGTTCTAATTTCAAAATATCCTATTTACATTTAGTACTCGGTGGAATAATACCTTTCCTGGCAATCTTTGGCACTATTTTCAACTATTGTTATCTAGAGAGAAAAAAATCAGTGCAATTTAAGTTCACCACTTTTTAAACTTTAATCAACATAGACATAACATAGACAAGAAATTTTATTTAAAAAAAGGCAAATATGCAATATTTTTTTTACTATCAGATTCTACTAAAATATATTGATATATAGTTGTTTTTACTTTTGGTCTTATATCAACAAAAGTCGCACCATAAAATCCTGCAAAGAATCCTTCCAATTGCAATATATCAATGTCAACATTGATTAAGTTTAAGTAAATCCTGTGCAAAACAATTTGTCACATTTTTTAATTAAGATTAGTTGTAAAAATGGTAAACTAGCAATTATCGACGTTCGTGTTGGGTTCCTATTTGCTTCGTCATAATTGATGTCCCTTATGGCATAGTGACAAATTTAATCAATTTCATCTGATTGATTATTTAGATACTAAAATGAAATACGTAGTATATACTGATAGACGTCTACTTATTTGTTTGTATAACCGTGACTACTGAAAGCCACAAATAATAATATCATCGAACGATGCCTAAATAATAATAGATTTGTGGATATATAACAGTGATAAAGACACGAATAAATTATTTTTGGTGGATTTAATTTTGTTTTTATGTCCTAAACCTTGTAAAGTTGGAATAAAGTATTTGTGTAATTTTCCCTGATTACAGGAAGTTGCAGTCATTGTGAGAATTTTCATATTTTTCTGTGCATTTGCTACATATTAAAACAATTGTTGGGCCTTGGGTTTTTCGTCGTGTTTATCTTAATAAACCGAAAGACCGTGCAAAAGAGAAAGTATCGATTGATCAATGGTACTGGTATTATTCCAGTACTAGTACTTTTTTATTCGATTTTTGCAAACGGAACAGGGTTAATGTAGATTCGATAATAATTTGCAAAAGTAAAAAAGCGGAGGCATAGACGATTGTAGAATTTCAACCGAGAAGTCATTAGTTCGTATTATCTATAATTTTTTCATATTTTATTTCTTGATTGTTTTTGAGGTGCTTATTGGAGTTTTTCGATACATGAGTTACATGCTTACGAATCTCGCTACATTAATGGATCAATGCTTTTGTTCGTTACTTTACAGTATCTATATTCGTTTGTATCGATATATCAGGGTTTGGATACTTTTGTTCGACACTTGAGTAGCTATACTTTTGTTCAATATTTCTGGGTTTGGATTTTTAAGTTTATTAATAATTTAGATTCTTCAGGGATTGGAGACTAATGTTCGTTACTTCAAGGTTTCATCATTTTAGGGTTTTAATAATTTTGTTAGTTTTAGTTTTAATTTTTGTGGATACTTCAGGGCTTTTATAATTTTGTTTCGATACTTCAGGGTTTTCATTTTTGTCGATACTTCAAGGCTTTTATAATTTTGTTTCGATACTTCAGGGTTTCAGCACTTTAGGGTTTTAAAAATGTTGTTTCGATACTTCATCGATTTATTTTTTGTCGATACTTCAGGGCTTTTATAATTTTGTTTCGATACATCAGGGTTTCAGCACTTTAGGGTTTTAAAAAATTTTTCTCGATACTTCGGGGTTTTAACTTTTGTCGATACTTCAGAGTTTCAACACTTTAGGGTTTTAATAATTTTGTATCGATACTTCAGGGTTTTAATTTTTGTCGATACTTCAGGGCTTTTTTAATTTTGTTTAGATATTTCAGGGTTTCAACACTTTAGGGCTTTAATAATTTTGTTTCGATTCTTCAGCGTTTTAATTTTTGTGGATACTTCAGGGCTTTTATAATTTTGTTTCGATACTTCAGGGTTTTAATTTTTGTCGATACATCAGGGCTTTTATAATTTTGATTCGATACTTCAGGGTTTTAATAATGTTGTCTCGATACTTCAGGGTTTTAATTTTTGTCGATACATCAGGGCTTTTATAATTTTGTTTTGATACTTCAGGGTTTCAGCACTTTAGGGTTTTAATAATTTTGTATCGATACTTCAGGGTTTTAATTTTTGTCGATACTTCAGGGCTTTTATAATTTTGTTTAGATATTTCAGGATAATTTTGATTCGATACTTCAGGGTTTTAATAATGTTGTCTCGATACTTCAGGGTTTTAATTTTTGTCGATACATCAGGGCTTTTATAATTTTGTTTTGATACTTCAGGGTTTCAGCACTTTAGGGTTTTAATAATTTTGTATCGATACTTCGGGTTTTAATTTTTGTCGATGCTT